TATATATATATATATATGTGTGTGTGTGTATGTTTTGATTTTGTGAAGCACAAATAGAAATAACAGTAAATTAATATAATACATCTTAAATTATTCCTAAAATAGGATTCATTTTATTTATTTTTCTTTTGGGGTGAAATATGACCGGGATATGTTTTTGACAGACTGACTGAGATTCACTTTTTCCAAATTTAATTTTTTTGAAGAACGCGAGGCAACTACACAGACATCAACTCTATGTCAGATGAAGAGAAGCGTGATGTTTGTGTTAAAGACTGAGCCGTCTGAGCACTAGATCACAGTCACTCGTTTCCTTCAGCTAGACTAGTCTGGTCAAGTGCTTAACTAGTCTTCTGCTGCAGTTTGTGATGACAGCAGCTGTTCACCAACCAATCACAAGCATCAAATCATTCTCATCGTTCCTTCTAGTTACACAGTGATGATCTCACACAAACAACGTCTCCTTAACGACAGAGCAGCGATTCACCACAGAAACAGTAAAGAATCAGCACAGATCTGTAATAGAACAACTAGAGACGCTCTCACTCCGTTCCACACCCTAGTGAGCCGGATATTTATGCATTTTAATTGAATATAAAAGATCCACACATAATTATGATGTTTTGCATTGTGACATTATTTTTATAAAAATAATACATCTTAAAATATCTTTAAAAATACTTAATTTTCTTATATATATATATATATATATATATATATTATAAGTTAAGCAAAGTATATATATATTTGCTCTACCATCTGCCGAGCCTGATGTAACCTTGCAAAAAATATTTAGGCCTAAATTTAATAGTTATGTTTTTGAATTGCATATAAAATTTCCATGATAATGATAATAATACAATTTTATTTTCCTTTAAAGGAGCTTCTTAAAACACTTTGCTTTACTGTTAATTGTGTCATTATTGACATGACCATTAAGCACAAAATAAATAAATACATAAAAATAATACATCTTCAAATATTCCTAAAATAATTTTAAAAAAAAATTTATTTTCTATACGTTTTTTTCAATTTTCCATAAGTATTTGCAACTATTTGATTTTTATTTAAATAATAATAAATGCGTTTATAAAAATATAATTAATTGTGCTTAATTACTTCAATTAAAATGCATGAACATGGTTAAAATACTACGACGTGTGCAACAAGCGATATTCAATTAGTTAAAATGTACGAGACTGAAACAAATTGGATTCATTGATCATAAATATATAAAGTTGGTTATTGTGCGTTTAAAACACATTCAGATTATTAGTACTATTACAGTAATCTGACCTGTTTCATTAATGTATGACTGACAAATATGAATCACATAAAAAAAAAAAGATTATCCAAATGCATGGAAATTTTATATGAAATTCAAATATATAAATCTTACATTTATAAGTTCGTCATCTTGGATGCATTTTTGAATGTTTGGAGCAATGCATTCTGGGATTTCCTTCTCAACAATGCTTCTTTACAGCTTGGCCAAAATATAAGGCGGCATAAATATCAGTCTTTTACCGTTAAATTCATGGTCATTTTTTACAGTGCACCAACTGAAGAGCATGTGAAGAGCCCTCTTGTGCTCAAAGAAGATTAAAATAACCCAACTCTGGTTATAAAAAAATAAAAAGATATAGGCAATGACTTCATGCATGTATATTATTATGTGCACTAATGATAACGTCACTGAAATTAATTCATTAATTAATAATTCATTAATTATTCCTGATGTTTATGATATATATATATATATATATATTTTTTTTTTCAGGAAATCATTAAAAAGTGTACGTACACTACCGGTTAAAAGTTTGGGATCAGAACGATTTTTAATGTTTTTTACATGAGTGTCTTCTGCTCATCAAGGCTGCATTTATTTGATCAAAAATACAGGAAAAAATGTTTATTTAAAATATAATTATTTTCTAACTATATACACTACCGTTCAAAAGTTTGGGGTCAGTAATTTTTTATTCTTTCTATTTTTGAAAGAAATTAAAACTGTTATTCAGCGAGGACGTGTTAAATTGTTAAGAAGTGATAGCAAAGATTTATATTGTACAGAATAGAATAAAATAAAATAAAATAAAATATTAAAAGAAAATTCCTTAAAATAAAAGAAAATTCCCTAAAATATAATAAAATAGAATAGAATAGAATAGAAAAGAATAAAAAAAATATATAAAAAAATAAAATAAAATAAAAATGGGATTGGATTTCCTTGCCCATTTATGATGATGGCTGTACAACTTCTCAACCATAAAGATGTATTTGTGGGCATTTTGCAGATGGCGTTGATGTGCTTGTTCACACTGAGCTTGAAATTAACTGAGACTTATAAAAAGGGATGCGTTTGGGAATTTGGGACTTAAACCATCTACAAGAACATTTTATAAACTGTCATACGTTCAACATTTAGGATCACTCTATAAATGAGGCCCCGGGTTTTTCATTCTCGCATTTGTACGATCCGCAGAACCGCTGCAATCATCCTGTACTACGAATGATGCAGGAAAGAGCTTGTGATGGTACTAAAAAAAAAATTAAAGTTGCTTTCTTAAATCCTAGTGTTGGAGTTCGCTCGAACTACACGGTAGTTTCATTTCTCCAGGGTCCCGTGCGTATATTCCCCGTGCTGTCGGGTGGATACAGCACCACCTCGTGCACCGGCACGCTTCCCTTCAGGATGCCGTTCTGATTGGCTAGCGACTGTCTGCGTGCGTGCAACTTTATGTGCGCGTGATGCAAATCGTCCCCCGCGAGCTTTCCGCACTGGAAGCTCTCGCTCGTGTCGAGGAGCTCATCTTTCGCGCAGCACATGTGATGGTGGTGGCAGAGTGTGAGCGCCTCGTGAGGGCAAACGTGATGCCCTTCGTGAGCCAAGTGGCAGATGTGGGTGTGTGGGCTGTTTGCGCGCGAGCTATGCGCACTAGCACCGTCGGAGGGAATACGGAACGCTAGTTCACGTTGCCGCCTCGTTTTAGTCCTGACGGGCTTGGAGCAGCGGTGCAAGCGCACGGCGGGCCGGTATCTCTCCGGGTCGGCGTGGATGAGCACGTGCGCGCTGGTTTCGTCCTCTAGGAGCTGCTGCTTGTGCAGAGCAGCGCAACACGGCGAAACCGGCGTCAGGCAGGTCACGTGATTCTGCGCTGCGGTGCGACACGCGCAGTGAGCGGGTTTCCCGGCGTCCAGAATATATATATATATATATATATACACATGTTAAAATGTTATATATGTTTAACATGTTTACATTTTTTATATAAAAATGTGTGTGTGTTTACATTACACATATAATCGGACTACTTTTTGATTACTTTTGACCAAACTCATCACATTGATTTAAACCAGATAATCTTGTACAATATTGGTATAAAAATACAAAGAGTAAGAAAAATATATTCCATTCGTTGTAATTAACAACATAAAGTGCATTAAACATTACATGACGCCAAGGTTTCCCAAACTGGGGTTCGTAAAGGACATGCAGGGGGTTTGTGAGTTTAATGAAAAGTTAATCATTAATCAAATCATAAAAATGTAAAATATATGATTTTAAAATAACATAAATCGAAATAAAATCCTTCCTAAAAAAATGAATTATTTTATTTGTTTTCCTGCATGTCATGTGAACATTAACCAACGTCAGAGAACCGTGAACATGCAAATGTGATACTTAATTATTAAATAGTTGTTTTAA